TGGGGTAATAATGCGATCCTGCAGATAAGTGCAGAAGAGTAAACACGTAAATTCTGCTTCTCTGGCCAGTAAGATTTCCTTGAAGCGCTGAGCAGGCAGGTTAACCTGCTCTCATATGTCAGTACAGGCTCATACATCATGCAACCTTTGCTCCTGCCTCAGGGCCCAGCCCAATGCCCATTTCAGTCATGGAGAAAAGATGACTGTGACAGTTGAAGCTGGAACTCAAGCAGTGCCCAAGCCACTGGCTCTTTCCTTGTGCCCAGGATTCATTTTAAGGCTCAGCATGGCTTTTGGTGCAGAGACTTACCTTGGCTTTAGCAAAGCAGGCAGATGACGACGTATTTGTTTTGTCACTGCGAAGGCTGCCAAGGAGGACAGCGTCCAAATCATGAAAACTAGATCTCTTCATTGCTAGGTCACTCAGCTATGGTTGGCTTCAGATACCTGCCTGTCAAAGGTCCTTCCCCACCAGAGGATAACAGCTCCATTCAACTCACCAACCAGCTTGAAAATAGGGACTTCTCTATCAGTCCTGCTCTTTAAGCTGGTATCTTCACATGTCAATAACAACTGCACAGTCCTCTTTGTAGACTTCTGCATATTTAAGTCTTCACTCTATGAGCACTCTGAAGGAGAAAAGCACTCCTCCCCCACCGCATTTTCTGTGCTTGTAAATCAGTAATACATAGTCCTGTAGAGCTCAGGCTGCTCCGCAATGCAAAAGTCTGACACGGCCAGTAAAACTGAACACTTCCACCTGGGAGGCTGCCCTGGCCCAGGCAAGTAAGGCTAACGAACATGGCAAGAGAGGAGACATCTCTCAGTCCTTATCTACTTGGCACAGGACAGGCAAATACTGCTGGTTCAACACAGTAATTAGTTCCCCAAATGGCTCGTTAAAAAAAGGCTTCTTTGCGTGTGAAAGATAAAGAGATAATGACACTCACCAAGGATTTCACTGAGACTATGCCCTCCAGCAAACTGCCTTCTCTTTGCACAACTGGTTTATCAACAGGAAGCTAAGAGGGCCCTGCACTAGCTGTGCCTTCTTCTGCTTTTGCTTCTTCTGCTGAATTCAGAAGAGCCTCGACTGTGTAGTATAGGACTTTCAAAGGAACACAGCAATCACCTGCTCTCAAACAGTCCACACAAAGACAAGATCAGCCAGACCACAGATCATAGCAATTACCGCAGTTCCCCTTCCATAAGCGTAACTAAATCGTGACAGAGAGGGAGATTGCTCAGTAACCACGAAGGCTGATATGGAAGAAGTTAGGGAAGACTTGTTCCCAATTCATTAGCAGCTCAAAGGAATCACTCTGGTCTTGGTCAAGAGCCAGGAATGAGTGACCTCTATTAACACCATATAACTATTTTGATCAGGTACACATGTCAACCTATGAGTTGACATTAAAAATATGTATGCAAATATCCATATGTATATGTGTGTGTACATGTGTGTATAGAGGCATATACACACACATATACAAGTGTTTGTGTGCGCATGCATTTGTGTATTTATTTATGGCTGAGTAGATGGAGATTTCTCTCTGAAACGTGCAGCTGAGCCACTTGATGAAGGCCCTGACACAGGGAGCTGTTTCTAGGCCAGACCAGCCAACAGCACCTGGCCTGTGAAAGCAGCACTGCAATTTTCAAAGAGGAGAGGTAGCCTGAAATTCACTGAGGAGACTTTCAAGGACCTTCAAAAAAATCATCCTCTGAATTAGACAGAAATAATGTAGCTAGGGTAAAAAAAGTAACACCTGAGTGGGAGCCTTGGAAGAACCAAAGGGTCACAAAACACTAGCAGGCTTCACAAGAAGGGGGCTTTGTGTAACAAACTCAACCTGAGACCAGCAAGACTGGCTGCAGCCACTCAGCTAAACCCAGGCAGAGAGGAGACTATCTTTAAGCTTGGATCTTAGTGTGAGTAGACTAGCAAATCCATTTTTGACATTTCTTCACATAGACCTCTTACAAACATTCTTCGCTGTATTGTCTCTTTTGGGCAGCACAGCTAGTACTTTTAGTTTGCATTTTTACCTGAACTTGTCTTGGAGTTTGGAAAGGTGACTCCAAGATATCTGGCTAATTCTGAAGCATGCAGACAGCTTTAAACTGAGATACAAGTACTCAGCTTCCCAACACATTACTTGAGCATATCTAATGGAAAATGATCCATAGTTCTGCAGAATCTCTATGAAGCATCTTGAGACCAGCAATTGCAGAGGTCAGGAAAGGAAAGCTGATTCTGTCTAGGCTCTGTCAAAGGAGACCTTTCAGGTGCCTGCTTCATACTGTTGACTGTGTTTGGGGAAGATCAGTCCAGAATAACCAAAAAGCCTCTCTGGCATGCACCAACGGTTTGATGCACCTGCAAGTACGCACGTGAGCAGCAGTAATAGGAAATCTGTTCCCAGTGGCAAATGTATCATTCTGAACACATACTGAGGGAGAGTAAGTATTACTTCCCTGCTGATGATACATTAAATACAGAAGCCTGCAAGGACAGATCAGGCTGGGCATCTCCTGTTATAAATTCACCTCAACTGGGCTGCAATAATGACAATAGAAGACCAAGTATATTCAATTACATGCTTGACTGGGGCACCTTGATTTTTGTTGCTTTAAATAGAACTGAATGAGCCTCCACACATTCTCAGCCAGGCTTGCTCCATGAATCCTGCACCCCATTCCACTGCTATTCCAGAGAAGTTACTTTTGTGAATCCAACTTTCATTCTTCAAAAGTCCTTTTTCTGTGTCAAAGCCAAGAGATTTAATTTTTTAGCCCTACTTATGGGATGGGTCAGAGGTACAAGAAAAACACACAAAGGAATTGTTACTTTCAGGAAAGCCAGCATAACCAATGCAATTCACACTTATCATGCCACACCCTGCCTCTACCTCACACAGATGACTTACAAATAGAAAAACTTGCTCCTCCTTTCTTTACACAGAGAAATGGTTGTAGAAGAAAATCTTAGGGAGGAAAAGGGGAGGGATTTAAATCAATTCAAATGAGCAGCATGTGCCAAAAGCTGCCTTTCCTGAGGAGAATATAAAAGCGGTGGACAGAAGGAATAATCTCTGTAAGGTGGCCTGCAAAAAGGTTCTTTTTCTTCCCTCACTAGGATTTGAACGGAAGACAAAACTTTTCCCACTTTCTACATAGAAAGCCTAAATTGTATATTCCTTTCCTTAGAAACCCTTATGCAAACATCAAGTCCAATGCATAGTGGAAGACAAGCTTTTGACAGAGTCCTACCCAGAGAGTTTATTTCAGAGTCAGGCAACAGAGCCTCCACACGGAGGCAGATGCTCCAACAAAGAAGGTAAAGCCAAATCAGTCCTCTTCCCGCTGGACACGCGTAATGGCCCTATGTCAGTTGCTTGTCAACACCGCTCTAGGCTTCTAGACACTTCCCTGAAAAAAATAGTTGAGCTTCAAGAGCATCCACCCCTTCCTGAGGGGCCAACAGGGCCTACAGTGTTAACACCTGAAGGCTGCACAGTGCTGCTGTCTCCCACTAGACAACTAGGCATGCCCTTAGCACAGCCCAACATACTTCCCATCATGAAACATGACATTATCGTGTTCGGGAAGTCACGTACCTGTGTCCCAAGGTGCTTTGGAAGCAGTAAAAAAGCACTGTTATCATCATGCTAAGTTCCTGTATCTGAACGGCCCTCAGGAAGGGATGCAGCAAGGAACGTGCTGTGGGCACGGCTGTATCTGCCCCTAGGCCATTTCCTAAGTGCCAGAGGAATGAAGCATCTTCAGCTCTCCCTTTCAAATACCGTTATTCAGAAGGACCTTTCATAGTTGGACAAGAAATAAGTTATCTGAAGACTAAGAAAGTTTCTTGTAACTACTTTTTTCCCTGAAGCTCAGAGGGTTAACCCCACACTTTGGAATTTTATGTCAGAAAGTAATATTCCAATCTCCAAATTCACATAGTGAAAAGTTCCCCCCCCCCCTTTCCCCAAAATCAACTGGCAAGTGATTAAACAGGAGACAGTGAGAATTCAGAATGACTACATGAGTACATCTGGCACGAAAGACAAATTTTTTACAGCATTTGCTCTGCAACATTTACAAGACTTAATTGCTCACTTCAGTGTTTACAGAAGCTCCTCACATGCCACTGCAGGCAAACCACAACTTCACATTCGTGCAAGATCAAAATGCTTGGTACATGCCTGCGTCTTTCACAGGTCATTCAGTCAATGCCATTCCTTCTTAAGTACTTCCAAGGCCTTTTAAGTATTTAAAACTTGTTCCTAGTTTAGCCAAGCCCTGAAGAAGGAAAATTTACTAATTCCAGCCTAACTTCATAAACTAAGTCCTTCCTGAATCTCAATCATTTGGTATTCTGAGAGTTCACTCAGAAACTGAGCCTTTTCTCAGCAGAAGTTCATGGAGTTGCTAGAAAGTCAGCATATTTAGCTCACTCTTTTGGTCATCTTAGGGGGGGGTGGGGGGAGAGAAATAGGTTGTCTGGTCCTTGGGGCATCCCTCAGGTAGCCCTGAAGTCAGGCTGACACATCTCAGGCTGCAGTCCTGGGATTATTTTAAGCAGGTTTAACCACAGAAAAGAGCCCTGGTACCCAGCTGCACTCTCTTGCCCACACCCCTTCTAGCCCCTGGGTAAAGGATGTCCCACACTGGTATCTGGCCAAATCCATTCCCAGGACAGGTCAGACAGGTCAGGTCAGTTCAGCTCAGCTTGTGCCCTGGATCACCATATGGTTGCAAGGAGGGCTACTTTTTGCAGTTATCCTCATTGACCGTAATCTGGCATGACGATACAATGAAATCTCAAATTTTGGTTTCCTACTGCTAGGGCCTGCGCACAGTCTCTTTTTCATCACTTGCACTAGCACTCTACTTTTATTTCTCTCCCTCCCCCTGCTAGCCACACAATATGTAAACAAAATATACTGTATCCCCATTCTTCCCTGCTTAAGGAAATACTACATGCCTGTGCAGCATTAGAAAACAAAACTACAAAAGTTTATTTTAAATATGTATTGCAAGTACATGAACAATTCCCTTTTCACTATGGACTTTGTGAAGCGCAGAATTATTTCAAACTGCGAACATCCCCGTTAAACATCTCTGAGGAATACAGCTTTTGCTGAAACCTCACTTGAATTTCACCCACAAAAACCAGCAAGTTGTTTTAGCCTCACATCACTAAGGCTAATCCTCCACCTCAGCTCCCTGCTGTACAGAGACTCAAGAGACGCATGGAGAGGCGTGCTTCAGAATTGCTGCTCGAGAGTCCTCCTGACTGAACACATTGGCATCAGATGCCATACAAAAGCACGCACTCACACATCTATTGGTACTGGTATTTACTGAACTTCCTTCCCTGAAACAGGTCTCGCTTCATATTTTTCCCCTCCTTTTTCATTAGATCAGCTACAAACTTTGCTTTAGTCTGACTGCAAATTCTGTTTTGACAACCAAATACATCTTCAGACACTCCCTATTTCACTTCAGTTATGTAAACATTCTCCAATCTAGCTCGCATGGTGTAACCACAGTAAGAAACTATTTCCTGCCACTCCAACTTGTTGAGATATTTTTAGCTGAAACTGAACACACATACCTGTGGCAGGTGAGGCACCAGTGAGAATGTGGGTGTGGAAAGACGTTTGCTTTTCTAGGGCTAAGGGTTTCCACAGCTTGTCATTCCAACTAAAGGGAGATGACCAACTCTGTCTAGGAGTCACTCCTCTTAAGGACGCTCTGCACCCTTTTTACAAGGAGAGGCTTTACTATTTCTCCTGTATTATTCTTGCAGCTGCACAGGAGACCGAGAATCTTTCATCCCATCAAGGGGGAAGACAGACCTCCACAGCTGTTGCAGCCATCCACGCAGAAGAGCATGGAGAGATGCTGAAGACTCCATTAGATCCCCCATACTAACTCTAAAAGAAATAACCCTGCCCCACCTTCCCCAGCAGTATAGCTGTCCTTCACATCACTTTACGAGGTTGACTCAGGACTGATTCACATGCGTATCACCCAAGTTATGTAGCTGGGAGCAGTGCTGACAGATTTTCCCATAGACGCAGAGCTTTAGAGGGGTTTATCTTCATTTGCTGATAGCAGGCCCAACCCTGTCTAGACTGTGAAATGTAAGGAAGCTCAAGCATCCAGAAGGCAGGAAAAGCAGTCAGGAACACTGCTGCTCTTTCGGGAACAAGTGTTCACATGTCCCCACCATACACTTGCTCGTTTTATTCCTCTTTCAACAGACATTTCCTCCTACCCCAGGGGAATGTCATCGAATAACCTTGCAGAATTAACATATTCTCGTTACTGAGTTTCCACCCCTGTCTCTCTGCATAAAGATGCAGATGTTCACAAAAGATACACATTGTCTTCCTGCATTATAAAGATGCTTTCAGTATTTAACATGTCCAAGGGATGTACCCTTACTCATCTGCCACTGCTCCTCCCTTCTTTAGCTTGCTTTGGAGGTATCAGACTTGAAGGTCAGCATTTGAGAGATTTAAGTAAACTACCACAAAAAAAAAAAAAAAAAAAGGGTCAAAAAGCTTACGACACTGGCACTCTTCTCACACCAGGGACTACATTTGTCCCTCATGTAGAAAACAGAGGCTATTTAAAGTAAATGCATATGTTGTACTCATTAAAAAAAAAAAAAGAAGCAGTTTTGTTAAAACATGTATTTTGCAAAATGTGTGGCCTGAAACAAAAACTGGTGTATGTGTGTATACATTATATTTGTCAACACTATGAAAGCAACCATTCTGCTGGTCTTGACTATTGCAGAAATTTTTGCTTTTCATTCGCATTAAAAAAGCACCAAACTTCTGAACATCCAATTTTTCATAGAGCAGAAAGTCCAGTACTACTACCAGTGAGTAGTTCTAATGGTCAATTTTCATGTTACATGATCAATATGCAGCTTCTCACCCTTCTGTGCCCACAAAGAAAAGTGGCCAATATAAAAGCTTATATTGCTGGGGGAACTAGCACTAAACTCCTGGTCTGATATGAAGAAAAATACGTTTCTCCCATTCTTGCAAAAATCTACTTATATGACACTAAATTCAGCATAAGATGTAGAGAAAACCGCTGGGGGGAATAAGTAGGACAACATATACTTGTTGTCTGTTTTTCTCTCAAGTTCCAGCCTGCAGGCTGCTTGACTATGTGAATACCACCCTCTTGCGTTAGTTTTCAGGTACTACAAGAAATCAGCAAAAAATAAACAAATCCCCCCCCCCCCCCCCAAAAAAAAAAAACAAAAACAAAAACACACACACACACAAGAAGCTCCCAAGCCCTGACCACTTTTTAACTTTGCCAATCACGCCAGATTCTGGATCCAATGCCAGATAGTGAATGGCCCAGTCGAGCTGGAACAGACTTACTCTGTTCTGGGCCACTCTTCAGCCGATACAGAAAGTACTGATGTCATGTTTGAACTGCTGAGAAGAGTGATCTAAGACGACAACTTTCTAGCAGAGCTGATAAACACTCAAAGTGAGAACAGCTCAGCGATAAGACAAGGAAAATGAGGTAGCTTGAAAATTAAGCAAAATATATTTGGAGTTCTCCATAGCACATGTCCTCCTCACTAAGGCAAGGACATCACAGCTGTGCTATGGAAACTGTTGCTTCTTTTAACTTTTTCCTCTCTTGCTTCTTCTGATACCAGATGCTCCAAGCAAGCTGGACAGTGAGACAGAAGCTGCAAACAATGGGAAAGCTGCACCCACACCGCATACACGCGTACTTCCCTTCAACACCTCTTTCGGAATGAGCTGGGCCAGACCACAGCTACTTCCGAACCCAGAGGGGATGGTATGGCATCTCTGAAAGGAAGACTGATCCAGTGGTACCACAACAGACCAGGCTCTGGTGAAGCAGAGAAGGGGAAATTGTTTTCCAGCTGGATCCCCCAATTTATGATATGCAGTTCTGGAAAAAAAAAATCCACTGGATAGGGCTTGGTAGACTTTTTTTCTTTTTCCAACCTCACAGAGCCATAAAAGGAAGGTTAAGTTTTGTCCAAACACAAGCTAGAAGGCTTTCCTTTTCTTCTTTTTCCCGCCTGCCACTCTATTCCTGATACCAATAGCTTCTTCTGTGTCGTCATCATCCCCATCCCGAGATCGCTTCTTCTCTCCCTGCTCTCGCAGCTCCTGCAATGCAAACAGGAGATTGACCAAGAGTTCTGCTAGACAAAGAAATCCAAACTGTAACTGTGAGTACAGGGACAAAAGCCACCACCCACCATTCGAGCAAATCTCTGGGCCTCAGCCACCCGCTCTGTCAACATCATGACCTCCTCCTCTTGCATGGGGAATGCTGGCAGCTTCTTGCCAATTAGGTGTTCAATGCGCTGGAACAGCTCTACATCATACCTGTGAAAAGACAAGACAAACACTAGCTTGAATCAGTCTTCCCAAGAACACTTCAGCTGTTTCTACCCACAGACATCGCCCCTCGTCTCCAGCCCATAGATAGCGTTAGTTTGTGCTGATGGTCTCAGAAACAACCCTATCTGCATCCAAAAGGTGCCATCCTTGGCAGGTATTTCACTGACTTAACTCATCTCCTTTCAGAATTATTTGGCAAAGACTTCCTTTAAAGTATTCATAAAAACTTATATATAAAGAAAACAGATTTCTGATGTAATCTGCACCATGCCTTGTAAAAATGTACATATAATACATAATCCAGTTATAAACAATTAATTCTGCTAGTTACATGCCTGCTTCTAGAATTTATCCTAGATCTTTCTCTCCTCTCCCTAGGCTTTGAATGCTCTCCCCTTTAAGTAAATCTACCTGCTGCCTGAAAATTTTCTTCTCATCTAGGATGATGATCAGATACAGTCTGCTCTGAAACACAGCAGGAAAAGATAAATCCACCATGTTCTAACACTTACTGTGTGACAAAGGTGATAGATTTGCCGGATCTTCCGGCTCGAGCTGTTCTCCCCACGCGATGAATGTAATCCTGAAAGCAATTTTCTTGGTAAGCAATGAGATATGCACATCAAACACAGAACAGAAGACAGCTCCTAGACAATCTGCCCATATTATTGTTTCCTCAGGGAAGAAAGAGAGCATGGAGAGAAAGCAGGGCCAAGATTAGATACTTGGAACTGTGTGCAATATCAGGATCTAAGAGGATGCTGGCTTGCAGAGGCATATCTTTTGGTTTTAACAATTCTCTGAATTCTCTCCTTCTAAACAAAAAAGATGCCACTTAACTGTTCAAAACTGCAGGACAGAAGTGATAGATGACTCTGCTAATGGAACTGTAACTTCCTTGGGAAGCCAGTATTTAAAACAGAAGCGGACCATCTCCATTTTCAGCCTCAGGATCTAGTACTCCTGGTCTTCCAGACATTCTCTGACAAGTAGATATAAAATTGGCATGCAGAGTGGAAGGGAGGATGAACGAGAGAAGTTTGGAAGCTTTTGATCTATTGAACCTTCTATTTATACGGTTCTAGGCTGTTTTCCAGGTTTTATACTACATTATAAAAGTTAAGGCACTCTTCCCCCTCCATGCAATGTCTGTAGATATCACTTAAGTGCTATGAGAAAGAGGGAAGTGTTCTGTGACACAGTGAATCCAGAGGAAGGTGCACAAAAAAGCATGTCATTCATGCTGCTCTCCCTAATCATCATTTACCTTTTGTCCTTTCACTTTGCCAAAAAAAAATAGCTTCAGAAGAACAGCTACACTGTCTTCAGTTTACAACGCATAGTACCTTCAACCATTATAGGGAACAATAAGAAGCACTGAACTGTGCATCAATGGTGTGCTTTCTGAAGTAGGTTGAGAAACAGAATTGCATCCCTAAGATAATATTATACTTCCTGTAAGGAAAAAACTTAGTAACTCACTTCTTTCACTTTTCGTGATATGAAGGTGAAACAAAGTCATCTTTCTTGAGCAAATCCTCATTGAGCATAAGGGGAGAAGCACTTTTTTTTTTTAAAAACAGCTTAAAATGCGAAGATAGAACCTGGGTTATGGGAAGAAAGATAACTATCTGAAACTAGTAATGAGTTAAACTATTCTGAAAATCTGGAAGTCTGTTAATACGATAAGATAAAATGCACGCTCCAAGCAAAAACACAGTGACATAGAATCCCCTTTATTCCCCGCACACACTTATGGGATCATCTCTACAATTCAGATCAGCCCACCCCACCAAACTGAAATATCAGCTCAATCTCAGAAGTTGAACCACATATTTTTATCTGCGAAAGCGTGAAGACCTCTAGTCAGCAGAACAGAGAAAAACAAAGTCTTTGTTCCTTTGGCAAGCTTCAAGGCTCAGTATTAATCTTCCTACTGACAGGAAGCCCTCAGTCGCCACACAGACCAACTCACCTTAGAGTGGGTAGGAATATCAAAGTTTATGACCACATCTACATGTGGGATGTCCAGACCTCTGCTTGCAACATCAGTAGCCAGCAGAATAGACCGCGCCTTTGCCTTGAACTTGTTTAGAGAACCCAAGCGTTTATTCTGGAAGAGAAGAGGACAAGAATCAAGGAGCCCTATTAAAAAAAGGAACGAGACAGTGTTCCATTCCGGTGCATATACTCTTGTTGAAATACTGTTACAGAAGAACCAAGGAGGGAGGGGGAAAAAAAAAAAAATAAAAGAACCCTTAAAAACTCTTCACTTTTCTAATATCTCTAAAATACTACAGAAATTAGTGGCAGCGTTCACACTAGATTAACTTCTAGGGGCCAGTCCAGTTCACTAGTTGTGGAGTGGTCCTCCTGCTCCGCCTACTGACTCAGTATGGCATAGCCCATTTCCCAAGTGATACATCTCCTGTCTCATCCAGAAACGTGGAGTATGCCCATACCTGACTCATCTGCCCATGGAGAGGGATGGCAGTGAACCCCAGATTGCGGAGCAGTAGAGCAGTCCTCTGAGTATTGTTACATGTGCTGCAGAATATCATGAAGGAGTTCCCAGCCAGTTCATTCAGGATATACACCAGGTAGCTGTCCTGTAAAGAATTAGAAACAAAACAAAAAACAAAAATTAATAAAAATTAAAAAACACACACACACACACACAAGACTATCATATATGTTACATTAAAGCAATGGAAAGTTAAGTCTAAGCTAGAAAAGATGATAGGATATTTGGCAGAGATGGAAATGACAAGACAATTAGAAATGGGAAAAAACAGAAGTGGCATTACCTTGAATCTAGAGGGGATGAAAATATAGTACTGCTGTAGTTTTTCAACTGTTTGATATTTAGAAGAAACAGCACATTTCACAGGATCCTTAAGAGCAGCACGTTGGAGTTTTTGTACCTGAGGAGATCCAAGTAAGTTAGTACTAGGTGGGCAGATCTTGTCACAAATCTGTTTCTAGATGTATCCCCAGCCTATACACTTGCTAGTATAGTCCAATGGAAGGAGAACTAAAGCAGAGTGCTCTGCTCTCACCTTCTTGGTCATGGTGGCAGAAAACAGGAACGTCTTCCTGTCTCGAGGAATTACTTTCAATAACTTATCCACCTGTAGAAAGAAAATGGAAAGGGAAATGCTGAGCACAATAACAATGAAGACATGAGCTCCCTACAAGTATGATAATCATCCAAATGATGGGTCCTGCATGTGTGCAATTTAGAGCTCACGTAGGAATGGTAGTCCCCAAAACTTCCACTCTTCTAAAGGGAAGATGGGGGCTGATACTGTGCTGAAACTTGGACTTCAAAAGTCAAACAGTGCTAATAGCAGGCAACTCCTGCAGGAAAGCACACCCTGTCAACACAGCTACTGTGTAACATGCTGTCAAGCACTCTGGAGAAACCAGAAGACTTCAGAGACAAAATGCCCTCTACAGGTCTTAGTGCTCTGCAGAACTCTCCTACATTCTCTTCCCACTACAGACTTTAGCGCAATTATTAGAACGTAGTCACAATTTGCTCTTAAGTTTTACAGGATGGCTCAATACAGCATTTACTTCATGACTGCATACACTGATTTTCAGAAGAATCATATGGTGTTCTAATAGTTTGCTTTAGCAAATTCCTACCTCTGTCTCAAAATCCATATTGAGGATCCGGTCAGCCTCATCCATCACTAGGTACTTCAGAGCGCGTAAATTGAAGCCTTTTGTGTTCTCCAGATGATCAATTAGACGGCCAGGGGTTGCTACCAACAACATCAGAGGCAACAAATTAAGAATGAAAGCAAAGGAAGAGATCCAGGCAGGCAAGAGTCATTTGTTACAGAAATGGGATTCTTTGCCCACAATGAGTAAAGGCAAATTGCTTTGGGGGAAGCACTCTTTTCATAAAATACTCTTGAAGTGTTCTTAAATTAAGCTAATGGAGTCAGGCTTTCTGAAGAAAATGGACTACGAGAAGTATAAGAAGGACAAGACCAGGATTTAAAATACGTGGAACAGAAAAACCACACCAAAGGCAGAGTAGCAGAAGTGTTTTGGAATGCGCCTGTAGCAGTGAAGTACTTCACTGATGTGTATTACCGAAACATTAACTAGATGAGTACTCAGATCAAAATAGAAATAGGTAAAGGAGGTACTCTCACTTCTCCTTCAGTTACACAAAAGCTTCTGGCATTCTGTTTTTGGACAACTACAACTCGATCACATACATTCCCCATATTCCCTGCATGTTGACTTACCAATTATAATATGTGGTTTCTTGGCTAAGGCCAGAGATTGAGACATCGTGTCAATTCCACCCACAATAACCGCTGCAGGACAAACAATACAGTGAATCTCTCAGTTTATCAGTTTAGCACAAGCTGACCCCTGTACCATAATGTGTTCCTTCCTACTCTTCCTACTCCTTGCCACCCACAACTACAATGAAAGCTACTTTTCTTAATGAGAACTTCCTTTATGTTTTGTCTTAGCATCCCTGACCTTTTCAGGTATCCTAAGCCATGTACTAGACATCCTTGCTATCTCAAACTATTTTATTGTCATGGTTAGAGAGCTGCAGGCAGAATCTAAGCTTTTATGCTTGTAGAGAATATCTGTAGAACCAATACAGAGAGTCTGAAGGAAATCATAAACCATACCACACTATGCAGCACAGCTTTATGCAATTTCACTGAACAAACACTTACTACTGTGAATTTATCATGTGCTTGAGAAAATTCTTTCCTACCTCGGTCTAACTGTAAGGAAAGACCACCACATATCACAAATACAGCTTCTCTCTCAAACTTGATACCTTGTCTTTCTCACGTTGCGTTTAACCTCCCACACAAATACTCTTCACCTTTTCCTTTGCACTCCAAGGCTGCTAAACCTCACCGGTGGGCAAAACTGCTCCAATAACACAAGGCTACTCACCACTGTGGACGCCAATGGAGGATCCAAGAGCTTCAAACTGCTCTGAAATTTGGAAGGCCAACTCCCTCGTTGGGGTGAGGACAAGAGCAAACAATCGCTGAGGTGTTTCCAACAGCGCTTGAAGAATTGGCAAAGCAAAGGCCCCTGTTTTTCCAGAACCCGTTTCTGCCAGTCCAATGATATCTCTGCCTACAAGGAGCAGCAAGGAGGGAGAAGACTTACAAATCAGCACTAAAGAAAGAGGCCTTCACAGCACCGTGCAAGAAAGCACAGGCGTTCCCTAAGGTTAGCAAGGCCAGCCTCTGCAATTACTCAACGAAAAAAGAAAAGATACACAATGGGTAAGGAGAACAAAGGACCAGAACAAAGAACTTCAGAAGATCTTTGCAGCATTTTTAAAGTGTGACTTCATTTGTGTAATAGTAATAACTACAGCCCCAATCCTCCAATACACAGGCTTTAGGTCCCAGAAAAGCTTTACTGGAATACAGCTTAAATCCACTGATTAACTTACAGCCTATTGCTCACATCCGGATAAGCATTCCTAGATCCGTTATTGTCAGTTTACCGGCTCACAAGGAAAAGGACTCCAGTGTTCAAGGGTTAGGTCATTCCACAAGACCACAGCACTGCCAAACTCCCACTCCACAAGCCACTATCTATTCTGTGCCATAGATTAAAATAATAACCTACAACAGTTTGCAGCCAGGAAAGGATTAGGACAGCAAGTCCCTGGCCCAAGAATAACACCAAATGACATATTTACAGGCAAGAAGGTATAATTCATCAGTAGGACCATTCTGACTCCCTAAATTCCTACAGCTAAGAAGAACATGTTGCCAATAAGCCTCAGATTGGGGAAACCTTCTCTGGAATGCAATTTTTTTTTTTCTTTTTTAAAGAGACTCTTATATATGGATTAAAAAAAGAGCCTGACAACAGTTAAGTAACAGGACAAAACAGACACTGAAAGTTTATTTCCATTTTAAAACAGTGCCATTATTCTGTATTTCTGCTCACACTTATGTATTTTTTTAAATATGCCAGAGGCAGAAACATTTACTGAATTTGTTTTTCTGGGTTTTTTTTCCCTCCCCCTTGTAATTTCAGGATATTTATAGAAAGCCACTGTAATTTGGTTGTTACTCACTCTAGAAATCTAATTTTAAAGAACTGACTGCTCACAGCAAAGCAGATCATACAAGCTATGTAACTAGTCAAAGCATCTCCAATTTCAGACACGCATTGTAGATCTTCACCAGAAGAGCTGCTATCCCAGATGTCCTTGGGTATTTCATGAAGAAAACGGACAGTGCTGACTAGCAGCTCAAATGATTAGTAACAATTCCATTTAACACAGCATACCAGAACTCCACAACAGAAGCGAGCGCACAATAACCCATGTACCCATCTGAAAATTTGAACTTGCAGGCAGTGTTATGGAGGAAATGGAATATTCTAAGTTCCATCTGGGAAGGATGCAAGGATGAACACAGAGACTATTTCTATATAGAAATCTGCAATGATGAAGAAGTGAGAATGCTCTCCCTGCCACTTAACCTACCACTCAGCAAAATTCATTCACATACAGCTCCTGGAGCACCCTCATATTTCAGAGGAGGGAAGCAAGCTGCTCACCTTGAAGAGCCACTGGAATAGCCTCAACTTGGATCTTTGTTGGCGTCTTCCATCCTAACTGGTCACAAGCTTCACACAGGACATCCGTCACTCCCTGAACATTAGTGAAAAGAGGAAAAGAAAACAGACATCAGCAAGGACCCCTGAATCAAATCACTGATTTAAATGATGTACTGCAGCAGAGTCAAATTGGTCTCCGACAAAGACAATGCCCAACAGACCCTCAGTGCGACTACACGAAAGCAAAGGCTGCTCATAGGGATCCCTCCCAATAACACTACAGATCTGCTCTAAACTGTCAGAGGTGACTACCATCAGTAAGAGACTGATCACATTTCTTTTTATTTGATATACGCAGCCTTGCACACGTACCCAGTTGCCTTCTTCCCCGGGTGGGGGGGACACGAGCACGGAAAAGGAAAACGCCAGGGGAAGATAAGGCGATTTAAAATAAACACAGAGGGCTGGAGCGCAGACCGGTGCAGCGATCCCACCTGAGCCCCCGGGACCTCCCGCCAGGGCCTCCGCCCCGGCTCGGCAACGCGCACGGGGCAAACCTGCGGAGGCGCACGCTGCCAGCCCCGGCCCGGGACGCGGGGGGGGG